ATTCTGGGCCAGCTTTAGCTCTGAGGCTTGGCTCCAGCTCTGAGGCCTCGGCTGCTGAAAGCAGGTATCTGGTTTGTTTGGGTTCTATAATCGAAACACTGTTTCAACTCCAGCTCTGAGATCCCTGCTGGCTGAAAGCAGGGATCTGCGTTTGTTCTATAATTGAAACAATGTTGCGGTCCTGCTGGCTGAAGCCCGGCTGGCTGAAAGCAGGTTTCTGGGGTTTTGTTTAGCTTCTATATTTGTAACAATGTTTCAAACTGCAAGCTCAGAGGCCGGCAGCAACAGGCGGGGAACGTTGGCTTCCACTGTCACTGGAGCAAGCAAGCCTCCTGTTCGCTTCAGTGCCTGGCTGCCGGGCGCCATCTTGGCTGGCAGTTAATTTGCATATCGCCCTGATTAGCCAATGGGAAGGGTAGCAAAGTTACGGCTAATTACCATGTTTCTCTTTTATTAGATAGGATATGCTTTGGAGTCTACTCCAGAAATTCCACTTTACCATTGACTAGCTGTAAGGCTCTGAGCAGGTCTTAGAGATGTCCTTTCCTCAACTAAAACAGAGCTAATAACAGACTGTCAACGTGCTTCGTGGGGATCCCGTGAAGGTTAAATTAAATGAGATAACCCATGGAATACTCTTAGCACAGCATCTAGCAACAGCAAGTACTCCAAATGTTTACTATCAGACTATATGTGAAATCCCTGGCACCCCCAAGGAGTTACTGCAAGGGGTCTAAAGAGCTTGCAACACTAATATGTATTTTAGATCTATGTACTGTTTTTAATAAAATAGAAATTATCTTAAGAGTTCTATTCAAGTAGCTTTTAAAAACATGTAATAATTGTTGAAAAATATTCAAACAATAGAGAAATAAGTAAAGGAAAAAGTGTGCTCATTCAGCCCCCACTCCAGCCTCCAAGTCGCCTTTCCAGGGAAAATCATTAGAAAGCACTGCAGCAACTTCAGATCCTTGTCTCTCAATATGCAGGGTGTCCCAAAAAATGTATACACGCACTTTGAATAACAACAAATGCAGTGTTTATTAAAATACATTTCATTTTCAAAATTGAGCTATCAGCTGTTAAAGTGTGTATACATTTTTTTGGAACACCTTATATTCATGAAGTTGGGAGGAGGAGAGATTAGTTTTTTCAGAAAATAGGATCTTACCACATATATTATTTGTTTAGTCAATAATATATTATGGATATCTTTCCATGTCAATGCATAAAATCCTAACTCACTCTTTATACCCACTGCCTAATGATTCAGATTTATAACTTATTAATCTATTATTTTAGGCAGTTAGCTTACTTTTAACTTTCTGCTATTAAAAATAATTCCACAATGAACAGTTTGTTTGAAGGGCATTCAACATATGGTTAGGTCTTTCTGTTGGACAGCTTCCTAAAAGTGGATCTGCTGAGTCAAAGGTTCTACACATTTTATATTTTGGTAAGTACTGCCAAATTGTCCTCCAAAGAGAACATAAGTAAAACAGAGGACAATGTACTCTCTGTCATTAACCATCTGCTTAAAACACAAGAACAAAAAGTACATTATGTGGAGAAACCATACATTTTTCCACATGGAAAGTGGCCCTCATCTTTTTTAAAAAATGGGAACTACGGTTACAAATCCATTATCCTTCTCAACACCAGAGCTCCTGACTAAATTCTCACCTTAACATTACTCAGACCCTGACCTCTCCTGCAGTGACCTGCCTCATATCAAAACCAGTTTTCTAGTGCCCTGCCCTGCCCCTGGAAGCTAAGCCAACTGCTTTGGTGTGGAGGGCGGTGTGGGGAAAGGACTTAAGACCTGAAGTGTTGCTGCCATCATCTAGCAGCCGTGCCAACCCTCACTAAAACAGAATTATTCCATTCAATGTTCACTTAAAAGCTCTGCTCTGTGGCTGTTATAAAGCAGCAATGGATTAAAATCCCTTAATCAATAATCATTGGCCTACAGGTAGTTTACAGGTTTCATTTTACACCACAATATTATTACAGTGAGGAGCAAGAGCAGATAAAGGTCATGTTGGTAATTAAAGCTATATTATAGAAATATGCACACCCAAGATATGATTAAATAAGAAAATATTACTCAGTTAAGTATCATCATTAAACTTGCATTAATTTATAAATATTTAAATGTACCATATGATGATCATAAATAATGTGTTTTTGTCAGTTTCTAAACTAATGCAACCCATAAACCCCTTGAAAAATTACTGCAGAAGGAAACAGTCAAGAAAGTATACAAGCCAGACTTACATTCAAATGCTGTGGTTGTTGCTTCAGGCAGAACCTGGCCTATCACATCCTAAACAAAGAAAGAATAAAGAAACACAATTAGCCATCTTCTTTATTGCTAACATGTGGCAAATCCTAGAGGAAATATGAGAACCTGGAAAAGATTTTTGAAATGTGGGCATAAACTATAAAAATATTAGCTCATAATCACACTTAGCCCAGCAATATAAGCCCAGAGT